AGCAGGGACGGAAAATGGGGTAAAAAGGTTCTCATGAGCTAATTTTAGTTCCGGCTCTTTTTGGTGTGAACGCAACATTTCGGAACTATATCGGAACTAAAGTGGGAAAAGTACTCCGGTGTGAACGCGGCTTATGAATGGACTAAATGTTCCAGCTCCATCCTATACCTTAGTTTATTCATTTTGATAACTTGTCATAAAAGAAAAGAATGCATTGACTAATTGTTAACATACAAACAGGTACAATTTGACCCCTCCAGATATGGCTAGTCCAGGAGAGAAAATGACTTTTAAAGGACTCAGATAATAATTCTGTGCCGTTTAGACAATTAAAACAGTGTGTAGTAATGAAGCGATTACTCCTTTGTAATGCTAAAGTCCAGTACCACAGACTTTAGTTTAAAGCACGCGCTCCACTGGTGTTGACAAGGATGGCTCTGGTGGGTTTTTTCAATTTCCAAGTTATCTAGAGATAGTAACCCTGCGCCGGTTAGACCATTGAAACGGTGTCTAGTAACAAAGCGATAACTCTTTTTAATGCTAAAGTAAATCCCGTACATCACCACAGACCTGGTGCTTTACAGCCATGGCTCCTGGGGGTGATTTGTTGCTCCAGGTGAAGGAGTTTATATATCCCATGGTGCTTTGTGAGCTGCTGACAGGTGTAGCACGACCAGAGGTCAGAGGTCAAGAGAGTTTTCATGGAATTACAGGTCTGGAGCTGCAGGTTGGACCGAACGAGCAACAAACATCCCATCATCTCTGCTGCAGGGTCAGCTCTCGTGGAGATACAGTCAGATTATGGTGGGTCTCTCCTCTGTGAACTCTTGCTTTTAAATCAGATGTATCCAGAGTGTTAAAGTTTACACTGTTGATGACTTGATGTAAAAGTGATTTCTTTATATGGACCATTTGAATGGCATGTGAAGCCCTTAAGATGTCCTTTTGTTGAGCTGAAGATGTTGTACCCATTTCCTTTAAACTCTTATTCAACATGCTTTTATGAGTGTGACTCTTTATGGTTGATTTCTATCTCTTCTTCAGAGATATAGCCTCTTAATTTGGCTGTTAAAGTGAACCAGGTTCATGCGTTTAAAATGTGCAAAATTGTCTTTTCTCTTTTCTGAATGCGCGATGTCTCCAAAGTTAATCTTAATAGTGTTGTTCAATATACACCAGAATAAACCTGATCATGATTTTTGCATTTTGTTTTGAGAACAGGTCTCTCAGAAGTGCTGAGCGGGCACATTAACAGCGGGTTAAACCAACATTAGGGAGGGGGGGGAGATCATTAGAGAGTGAGAGCGAGGAGGGGTCGGGTTTCATGTTGAGGACCCTGAAGTCTGTCAGAAGTAAAGACTGATGATGAAGGACACGTTTGGACACAGTTAGCGTCCATTTAGCCGCAGACTGCTGCTCCCTTTGAGAAGACCTTAATGAGATCTTATTTGTTTTTAGTAAGGCTGCGTCTCCTCGTCGACTTAACTGACATTTTGAAAGTCATTTAAAGTCCTTTTTCTCATGCAATACGACTCGTTATCCAAGAAATATGAGCACGTCATAGCAAGATTCAGAGAGATGTTTTTTCATGATGTTTGATCAGAATCAGAATCAGGTTTGTTGTATAACACATACGAGGAATTTGACTTGGTGTTGTGGTCCACACATTACAAGATAAACAAAACATTTAAAACACAGATAGAAGATGTGAAGAAAATATAATAACAGTAAATAATTTAGTAAAATATAGCAGTATTTACATTGAATCTGATTGAAATCGTAGAAATAGAATTGGAAGAAGAACCCATTATGTTTTAAAGCAAATACAAATTCCTGGGTGGGAACATTTCTGTGAACAACAGATATCCACTTTGAAAGCTCTAAGCACTAAAATCCCATCTTTTTTTTAAGCGTCCATGTTTGTTTCTACAATCAAACTTTACACTCGTGCAAATCAAAGTGTATTTTAGGGAAAAGGGGCCATCTGAGGAGCACCTGAATGTTGGCGACGGTGTGCTCGTTAAAGTTTACACAGAGTCATCTGGGGAAAACGAGAGTGATATTGAAATGTAGATCAACATGATGTCAGTGCAAGGAGGTGAAGTAATGAGACCCTCACAAGAGTCTTTACTGTCAGTGGGAGAAAGTAAGACTGGGAGAAAAGGAGTAAACCCCCTCCTCTTCTTCATCTCCTTCCTCCTCTTCCTCCTCCACCAGCTGGCTGACAGATGGAAGGACCTGTTGGCCAAGAAAGTGAAGGAGTAGATGGGAATGTGGGCGAGGAGAAAAAAAAAATCCACCGACAGATTTACTGAATGATAAGCAAATCTGCGGGAAGCACTTACGTGTGTGTGTGTGTGTGTGTGTGTGTGTGTGTGTGTGTGTGTGTGTGTGTGTGTGTGTGTGTGTGTGTGTGTGTGTGTGTGTGTGTGTGTGTTAGTAAAACATGTTCATGCTGTATGCACAGGTGGTTTGATGGAACAGGAAGTCATGGTCTCAGTTTTACTGCCGTCTCTGTTGGTTTTGGTTTCAGGAGATATAACTTATATTGTACCTTTTTATGACACTTGATAAGTTATATAAAAGAGTATAGTTTATTTATTGAAAATGTGTAATTTAACTAAATGTGAGGGATCAAGCGTGTGAACAATATGTTCTCATGTAATAGATGTATGGTTTTATTTCCACGGGTCAACGTACACTTTTCTAATTAAATGACCAGTTTAAAACACCTCAAGATTTTTTTTTAACTGGCGTTGACAAAGTGTTGCTAATTTACGGACAATTTGGCACGTTGTTGGTATATTTGTTTCTGTTTCCTATAAACTTTAGTCTCGTTTTATTGCATTACCCTAAATGACAGCTGGTTTTGGTCCATTTTATCCGAATGATCTTAAAAGGAAAACATTTGAATGTCTTCATTATTAAAATTGCCATAAACGCCACATGTTCAACAAAATGCTGCAAGTCTTAAACAAATTAGAATAAAATAACATTTCTTAATTCATCCATTTTAAATCTTTCAAGATTCTTTTTTAATCTGTCAAATATGTTCCCAATAAATCAATTAGTCGTTGGTCTATAGAAAGTCAGAAAAGGGGAAATAATGTTTATTTGGTCGAAAAGCCCAATATGACCAATATGTCTGGTTTTGTTCAAAAGATGTTAAATGTTCTGTTATAATGGAGTCAAAAAAGCCTCAAATACTTACATTTAAGAAGTTAAAATCAGAGAATTTAGATTTCTTTCTGCACTCAATGTACTCAAACTGATTAATTGTTGATTTATTATTGATATAATTCATCAGATCTCTCTCTATCCCATCTCTTCCTCCGCATTTCTTGTTGGATACACTTAATAAATATCGGTCTTATGTCTCCTTGAGTCTAATTATCGTCCCTGGAAAATCCATATTTACTAGATCTCAGTTGTTTCCGTCTTTCCTGCAGTGAATCTTTTGATGGAGCGTTTTTTATACGATGATCTCACTCTGCAGGTGTTGGCCTTACATATCTAATGTGTGAGGAATTATTTCATTTGCAGTCTGCTGATCATCATGTCCAGCTGCTGCTCTTATCAAACTCTACATACTTTCCTAAGTCTCTGATATCTACCTGACCCTCAGATAACTTCCTCTCTGAGTGAAGACTCCTTTAGTGTCCATCATTACACTCACTTTTACTGCAGTCTGAATGACAATCACTGTCATTGCTGCGTCTCACTTCCTCTGCTCCACCTCCAGCCTTGTTGTTCCTTCCTTACAACCCACGACTATAAAATGCTAATGTTGTGTGTTTGGAGTCATTACCTAACTGAGGAAGTTTAGGAAAGACACAGACAGCTGCTCTGTGTGAGAACTTCACCATCACAGGACCCTAATAAGGGATTTACTGCCTCCCCTACATAAAGGAGGCTAATGTTGGGCTATAAAGGAACTACAGCACGGTCACATGACTTCACGCCACCACCGCTAAGCTAAAGGAGGCTAATGTTGGGCTATAAAGGAACTACAGCACGGTCACATGACTTCACGTCACCACCGCTAAGCTAAAGGAGGCTAATGTTGGGCTATAAAGGAACTACAGCACGGTCACATGACTTCACGTCACCACCGCTAAGCTAAAGGCTGGATCAATTGATTTAAAAGTTTACTTCTAGTATATAAAACTTATAAAAAATATCTCAGAAAATCAATGTATGGGTCATTGAACTCAACACAACTCTGCTTTAAGAAGACTAGACGTCGCCTGGTGATTCTTATATTATCATTACAGTTTAATGAATATACCTGTGTTCTCTGCATGCTTCTTTACTGCTGTCTTCATGCATAGACGTTATTTAATAAGGTGAGAAACATGCTTGACTGGGAGTTTTGAATGCCTTGTTGATCAGACATCTTTAATTGAGTTTGTGCTGATGGACTTGGTGCTGAATGTGTTTGTGTTTTGATCCTTCAGTGTGCACTTAAAGTGGATTTATGTCCGTCCGAGCTGCAGGTTAGGAGTGATTCCCTGCAGAAGTAAACTGTTATGCTGCTATGCATCCTTAGGGAGCGCCTATAAAGTCCGTCTCAGCTCAAATCCCTCTTTGTCATGAATGGAAAATTCATCGAGCGTTGAAGGGTTATTTTAGTTGGGTGTTAAGTCTTTATACAGTAGACTTTCTGCATGGTTTGAGATTGCTGTAAAGGTGTGTTTTTATATTTTCACAGCACACAGACTACAATGCATTTGGTATGTCTGCAGCCCCATGAAACCTTTTTAATTAGTCTTAAGCTGGTGGAAGTGTGAGTGGAAATACCTCAGTGTTCATTATGTTCACACAACCGCTGTTTGTGCTGTTGTTAAGTGGAAAAGAGGGAAGGGAAATGTGCCGTAATGTACAGTCAGATTAGAATAAGTGGCATTACTTTTATATTTCTTAAAGCTGTGGGAGAATGCATGAATTTGCAACATAGGCTGCTTGGTAAATAGGGAATATCTAACAAAAATATTTGGAGTATTAAGTTTTTTTGTGTATTTTACTAGATTTATCCCAGGATTTTAATAGTTCGAAAATCCTTTTTATGGTTTATTGACCTACAGGTTTTTGGGATTAAATTAGATGCATTTTATTTTATTAATCCCAATGTGTTGTTTTTTCTAGTTTGAGCAGCATGCTAACAAGGCTAGGGTTAGAAATACAATGAAGTACACATTCAAAATAAACAAAAACTGTTAAAAAAAACTGTGAAAAGCATGGAAAAATATAATATTACGTGATAGGTATGTTTTCTATAGACAGGAGATACGTCCATGTAATTTCGTCAATTTGGTCCCAAAGGTCGGTCACGTAACCGTCTAAAATTGAAGTGAAAGATCATTTGTCACTTTCCTTTATGTTCTGAAACACCTAATGTCATCTCCCAGGGTTTGAAAAGGTCTATTCGAGCTAAGAAAGTCCAACAGATACAGGTTTAACTCCTTTACTTATTTTGCTCACCTCGTTCAGCGTGTCAAACAAGAAAAAGACTGTCATTTGTACAGACGTCCCTGGGAGTCTCCGAGATAAGACGTTGTGTGTGTGTGTTGTGTGTTGTGGTGTGTTGTGTGTGTGTGTGTGTGTGTGGTGGTGTGTGTTGTGTGTGCTGTGTGTGTGTGGTGTGTGTGGTGTGTGTGTGTGTGTGTGTGTGTGTGTGTGTGTGTGTGTGTCTCAGTTAAAGTGTGTGTGNAAAGTAGAAGTACTGACTAAACTTCTTTACTCAAGTCAAAGTAAAGAGGCTTTGAAATGTACTTCAGTAAAAAGTACCCATAGCTAGCAGCTGTTTTAAAGAGTACCTGACCTCCCTTTATATTAATAGAACAATAATGTCATTGTTAGCTAATGAATGTTTCCATGGTGACCAACGGCAACATGACAACGTTTCCATTGGTCCCTCTTCTTTAGAGAAGACCAGGAAATGATGGATACACGGATCGTGTTCAAATCAATAGGCACGCAATGACTCTAAATAATAATGATCACGCCACCAAACACACATTCAGACTAAAGGAACCAGACTGTTTGGAAAATGAGAGAAGTAGAAAGTACAGGTATTTGTGTTCAACATGTAAGAAGTAGAAAGTACAGGTATTTGTGTTCAACATGTAAGAAGTAGAAAGTACAGGTATTTGTGTTCAACATGTAAGAAGTAGAAAGTACAGGTATTTGTGTTCAACATGTAAGAAGTAGAAAGTACAGGTATTTGTGTTCAACATGTAAGAAGTAGAAAGTACAGGTATTTGAGTTCAACATGTAAGAAGTAGAAAGTACAGGTATTTGAGTTCAACATGTCAGAAGTAGAAAGTAAAAAGTCGTCAGAAAAATAAGTAGTGGAGTAAAGTACTGATACCAGAAACATGAACTTAAGTTCAGTAACAAAGTATTTGTACTCCACTACTTCCCACCTTAATGAGAAGCTAAATATGTTCTGATGTATCTTGTGTTTGTACCTCTGGTTGCCGAGCGCAGCGTCTTCAAGTCTCTCGTCATGGCTTCACAGGCGGCAGGAAACTCTTCTTTCAGCAGAAGAGCCTCGATACGCAGCGAGTAACTACACGGAGGAGATAAATAAATAATGGGTATAAAAATGGTAGAAGCCCATAACGCCATATTCTTTCATTTTCCCCCGTATCGTCTGTATCCTGGTTGATATTAATTTGATTGTACTCTGTATCTGATCCAGTCTGAGCGTTTTATGTATGTGTAATGTTCGTTATATTAAACTCAAGAGGAGAACACGAGGGTAAATAAAAGCACTTTTTCCGCTGACTATTCCTGTTGTTCCATTTGTCTCTAATGATCCTGCAAATTAAAAACCGTGCTTCAGTGTCTCAGCCATCTGCTGCCAACACGAGCTCCATTTGTTCCGGAAGAGTCTCTATTCTTTATTTGGATCTATAGTGGCTTTGAGAAAAGGGACGGCTCTTCGTTTCACAGAAAATATATATTATTATTACATGGCTTAGTTGAATACTCGATTCTGATTGGTCGATAGGGACATTTCAGAGGCCAATATGACAGAAGTACACTACTATGTTGTAACATAGCACCTTGGTTGAGCTCTAATAAGTAAACAAAAACAAATGTTAACATCTCCTCACAGACATAGCTAAATAAATAAATAATGATAATGTGAAAAGCATAATTTTCTTTATTGTAAAAACTTTTAAAATAATAAATATGCCAAAAAATAAATAATAATTTGTTTAAAAAAAAACTTTTAATTTAAATAGAAATTATGTTAAAAATCAAGTTTAAATTGTGTGAAAGTTTCCCCCTAAACACCCAATATAAATAAATACAATTATTTAAAAGCATCGATAAATACAAAATAAAATAAATACACCCCTCAAAAACATATTTATAAAAAATAAAAACATATTTAAGATAAACATAAGATTAAAAAAAAAGTAAAAATTCTGTCCACTTAAAGCTGAAATAAAACGTAAGTAAATTTATAAAAAAAATGGTTAAATATATATTTTTGTATAAACCCCGCCCCCTCACCTGGGCAGCTGTATCAGCAGGTGCACGAAGGAATCGGCCAATGAGAGCTTAGATACGTCTCCATGGTAACCCCGGAGCTTCTCCACTTCCTCTTTCTCCGGCAGCAGCTTCATCAGCTCCCTCAGAGGCCCCGCCCCCAAACGCTCACTGTTGCCATGGTGAATGTCCTCCACTATCGCCTGATTGGTCCTTCACACAAAGAATAATGAGATGGTTACGAAAAGTCTATGAGACGGTGAATAAACTGTTATTTTGGTGAATTAAATAAAATAAAATGTCTTAAATGTGTGATTTTTTCTGTTTCATATCACGGTCAACTGAAAATATTTGTTTGGATACGTCTTATTATTTCTATACGAGAATACGAAAAAAATCACACTTTCATAAAAAACATGGAAATAGAAATATTTTTTTCTTATGTCAGTCTTGTTTTGTCTTGTGTTATATCACACAAAAAATAACATATTTTATTTCCAATTATTTTAAAAATATTTATTTGTAATAAATATTTTTTTATAGGTATTCCGGAAATGTATTTGAAAATATTTGNCCCGACTAGATCTTCTATTGGACTCTAAAAGGAACGTCATTTACTAAGTGAACATCAGCTGTGTTGAAGAAGGCTTGAAACTAGAGATTGAGACCATAAACTCATCAGGAAAATGTTCACTGAGGTAACAAATAAAGAGAGAAGTAGGAACATTTCCTCATAGACTTCTCTACAATCTGAGGTAATAAAGAGAGAGAGAAGTAGGAACATTTCCTCATAGACTTCTCTACAATCTGAGGTAATAAAGAGAGAGAGAAGTAGGAACATTTCCTCATAGACTTCTCTACAATCTGAGGTAATAAAGAGAGAGAGAGAAGTAGGAACATTTCCTCATAGACTTCTATACAATCTGAGGTAATAAAGAGAGAGAGAAGTAGGAACATTTCCTCATAGACTTCTATACAATCTGAGGTAATAAAGAGAGAGAGAAGTAGGAACATTTCCTCATAGACTTCTATACAATCTGAGGTAATCAAAGAGAGAGAGAAGTAGGAACATTTCCTCATAGACTTCTATACAATCTGAGGTAATCAAGAGAGAGAAAGAAATAGGAACATTTCCTCATAGACTTCTCTACAATCTGAGGTAATAAAGAGAGAGAAAGAAATAGGAACATTTCCTCATAGACTTCTCTACAATCTGAGGTGATGAATATAAAGAGAGAGAGAAGTAGGAACATTTCCTCATAGACTTCTCTACAATCTGAGGTAATAAAGAGAGAGAAAGAAATAGGAACATTTCCTCATAGACTTCTCTACAATCTGAGGTGATGAATCAAGAGAGAAGCAAGAACATTTCCTCATAGACTTCTATACAATCTGAGGTAATAAAGAGAGAGAGCGAAGTAGGATCATCTTCTCATATACTTCTCTACAATCTGAGGTGATGAATCAAGAGAGAAGTAGGCTAATTTCCTACTAAACTTCTAAACAATCCGACTTGTTTTTGACCCAGAGCTTTCCGCCTGGGTGGCACAGCTTTGGCACCATGTGACTGAAATTGCTCGGGGTATCGTGTGTTGGTTTTGGGTCATTTTACTGTGAAGATGGTTCCAGCGAATACCACCAAACCCCAAAGAGGAAGGGGTAGTTTTTCCCCATTTTCATGGTTTGTTGCAAATCAATGATGTCATTTTTAAAGTCCTAGCTCTGTTTTTGTGTCGATTAAATCATCTCTACCGTTCTGCGTAATGTCTTCACTGTCCTGCTCATCGCTGGAATCATCACAAGTGTGTGTGAAGAGACATTCCTGTAAATGTAATAACTTTCAAAGCCGCACTCTAAATGATTAATGCAATCATTGAAGATCACAGAAAACACTCCATGTCGCCAAACCGCATCAGATACGCTTAAGTCGCACTGCTTTTACACGCTGAGGTCATACAGAAAACAATGTGGGCGCTCCTAATGATGTGGTGGGAACGATATCTTCTGCAGCATCGATGCAGCGATAGCACTTTGATTGATGACCTTTGAGGAGACACGGCGCGCAGATGGTATGCTGATCTCATGTTTTTGGTGAGCGCGTTTGAGCGCAGCAGCTGTGAGGACGTCAGGACAAGCACTTTATTGAGGAGATGGAGTCCAATCTCTTCTGGAGACAAGTCCGTGAATATTGGGTGGGCTGATATTTGACGAGAGGCGCGTGAGGCTTGAGAGACAGAAGTTACGTAAGGGAAAGTATGACGCTGTTTTTTTATAAGGAACTCTTTTTAATGCTTTCCGTGTGGCCTGTGGTTCTGTGTAATGGTTCCTATGCTTTCATTTTGGAGGTATTCATCGACATGCAGAGAAGCGTTTTCTGTACATAGTCTTTAAAACAAGTGGTTATTGGCTTTGACATTGGCGGTAGGGAAGGGGCCTTTGAATGGGGACATGAAAAGCCTGTTTTAGTCATTTCTATGGATCGATCTGTCAGTGTGTGTTGTCTGACAGGACAGGGGTCCAGAGGATGGCATTATTGTTTTCCCAGATGGAAACCAGGCTTTGCTCTGGCCCTCACGGCTTGTTACTGATTAAGACTGCCACAACAGGAGCCTTTTGAGAATCACAAGGAACTTTTTTAATGGGAAAAGTCAAAATCAGATTGTGTAATGGTTGTCAAATTGGAGGTGAAAGAAGGGAAAGAACCTGATGTGGTTCATTAAAGATGGTTAAATCCCCTACATCCCATGCAGTCAGACAGTGTTTGCTCTCGTTCCCTCTGGCTCTTTAAGGGTTATTATCTTGACAAAACGTCCAGCAGATGTACCCAATATTTTATGATCAAAGGTCCAGAAAACAAGCAGAGCTACGTCATGCCTACTGTATTTCACATCTGGACCTGGGGATGTCCGTCATGCGGCCACTTGTCATCATTTGGATGATTTTATTGAAGACATATTACAGCTAATGCGGTTAAAGACAGATTATTCTCTCTAAAACAGCCATTATTTTACATTTCTAAGGATTTTGTTCTGTACTTGCACTGATCTCTGAACACGGATGGATCTTGTTCAATATTCATTATACTGTTGGGAAATCTCCATCATTGGAGTGCTTCACTGAAAAATGTACAGTGGTGTAGGTCCTCATCCTTTTGGGATAATATATGAGATGGGCCCCTTTTAAATAAGAGATCAATCAGTAAGGGCCACATCTTCTTTTGGACCAAATCCTTCCATCATTCAAAATAAACAATTCTTATTTTCTTTGCCCTGAGATGGCTCGACTTTCTCAAGAACAGCTGTCTTCTTTAAATCAGAATAAAAGTCTTACCCTGCCATGTCTTTGAGGTCATATCAACATGGAGGTCTGGTGAGATGTGATTGAAGGGTAGAATAGGACAGTTATTTTGTCATTTATTTGAAATGTAATAGTACACACATGCTTTGGCTTTACAAGTGAGATTTATTGTTTGTCTCTGCATTGGAGTTGGACTGATCGATGGTTTTTTGCCCAGATCCAAATGAACTTATTCCCATCTGATAGTGTTTCCTAAAAGTTGATTAAATATGTTTCCGACACATTGAAATAACAGCTGAAGTGTCTAACAAAGCTCATTTCAGGAGCCTTTTGATGGAAATACTGGTTGTTCTGGTTAAAACGTATACTTTAGTTCTTTAAACTACAGATGCACCGTTGGATATGTTGAAACTACAAAAGGTTTTCTACCTAAAGACATTACTGTCACAGCTCTGAGGATTGGTTGTGTGCCAAATAAATGGCAGATATCCTTTTTGAGGGGCATTGGGCCTTGTAAGTAGATGTGAATGTGTGTGTAAAGAAGTGAAAGTGGTGTCCTGGACGGGGGGGTCGGGTTTCAGCTCCCAGATGGTTCCTTAATCTGCAGGTCTCAGGTCAGCTCCAGGTAACTCGAGCCAGACTCATAACCCCACCGTCCTCCAAAGTGCATCCACGGAGACCCACATGACTTCAATGTCCCGGTGAAAACAGAGCCACATGGAGCTGGCCCAACTTAAAACCCATTATCTTAAAGACCTGCTGCTGTGAGCTCAAATCCCCGAAAGCTTTTGATGACGAAGCATCTAACTTAGACCTGGTGGGAAAGTCTCCGACATGACGGGGATCGAGTTACGTAAAGCTGTGTTTCCACTGTATGTTTCAAAATGTTTTATTGAGGAGAAGCATACACGTGGAAGCAATAGTACAGACTTCTTTGGGGTGGAAATCATGCTTCTCTTTGTCAACATAGAAGACAAACAGAACAGCCAACAAGAATAAATAAAGAAAAAACATAGCATGACATACATAATCATAGTGGGAAAGAACATAGACAATATATATAATACAGCTAAATCAATACATTTATAGGGTGCCAATGAGGTGTTTCCTCTGTATGTTAAAGCTCTGCTCAACTCACTGTTGGTAGGAGTTCTCTACGCATAGAAGAAACTGAAATCTTCAATATTTTGTCCCAACAACCAATCTGTAAAACTTCCTTCCACTAGCACTACTTTTAATATTCTTATAACCAGAGATGTGCTCACAAGTGTCTTTGAAATAAGTATTCAGCATTGAAAACCATTGAAACAGCCAATAAGTCAAACAGATGGAATAAGAGTTGTTTTGTGCAGTCATTTAGAGAAATTGCAGCCCCTATAGATGGTAGCCTGGCAAGTTTTTGCATGTGGTCTGCAGTGTTTGATCGACGTGGTAATATCTACACATTTCTGCTAATGGAAAACCAAAAAAAGGGGTTTTCCAGGTTAAGTCGTAGCAGTGGAAATGCGTCATAAGGTGTCACCTTGTGGAGTTTAAACACCTCATCATTCCCCTCTCACTTCCAGCCACCGTATAGCTCTGTCAGTGTCCTGTATACATTTCACCGATGGACGGAGTAACCCTAACGAAATGCCGCTTGTCAAAGCCATTTTAAGAAATCACTGCTAAATCCTGAGGGTTTGATTCCAGGCCAGATAAGGAACTGCTTGATGAGATTGTGTTGCCCCCCTTTTAGTCCTGGAAGGGAACAATAATTTCCACGCTCTGATAACTTTCCTGCAGCCAAGGAAAGCTTTCCCAGTCCGACTTGAAGGGTGTGAACGAGCAGCTGACCCATCATTTCACATTCCTGCTTTAAGTGTTTTGAAATGACCCCCTGCAATTAGGGGCTTTTACATTTCCTTTAATATCTTCTG